TCGAAGACATTTTATTAGGATAATGGATGCGCTGTGTGATTGTTTTGATGTCTGTGATAGAAGCTGTGGTGAGAATGTTTAAAAAAAGAAATATTTTAGGATATTTTTATATTTCAAAATAAATTGTAGAGCAAATAAATAAAGCATTTTACATTAATGTATAATAATAAAAAAATACATAAAATATCAGTTAACACGATTTGTAAAGTAATGTAATAATTAAGGTATATTAATGTAGGTAAATTGATGTAATACATCTCTTATTAAAACCATTAAAACATACATATTTTTGGATGTTGCTTTAAAATAGTATAAAATTTGTCTTAAAAATATTATAAAATGAAAAACAAGTTTTTGACTTATACAGGCTCGGTATCATCATCAGTAGCCAGTCATATCTTTGGTCACGAAACAGTCAAACAATGCAATAGACTAAAATAACTGAATTAATTCAAAAAAATTGGGAGTCCATTAAATTTTGATATGACATTAGATTAAAAAATTAAGTTACAACTTTAAATTTACTTCTTGTGATCAAATATATGTACTAGTGTATGTACTAGTTCCTCACTCAGTCTATTGAGCAAAACTCAGTACAAGAGCTTCCCTCTTATATTACATTTATCCATAAAATAATCTAAAGCACCTTTTTTTTAACTTCACTCACTAATCTTCAATTTGTAGAGAGTGGGTCCCCTCACTACTTTTATGTGACTAGTAACCGAGTTTAACACCAATAGTCATAGGTTTCACTTCACTAAACAATGTGGAGTTCTTATCAATCCAGTCCACAAACAGTTTACCATAAACAGTAGCTATTTCGAGTGCCATTATACAATCATTCTCTGCCCTGTGAGCTTCACCACGTGGTAATCGTCCTAATTTTCTTCTGTATACATCCTGCAGTCTGTATGTATTCTTTGGCTTTTCACCATTTTCATAAAATAATTTACGTACAGCTTTCTTTTTCAGTTGTATTTGGTTCAATACAATTTTTTGCCGTTTTGGTGTGGACTCATTGATGTCTTTCATAGACGTTGAGGGTTTGTAAAAGTCAATTTCATCTGTACAGTCAGTCTCCTGCATGTTCAAATTTGATTTAATAGAATCAATATCATAAAAACAATATAGACAATCAGCACAAAACACATCGCGACTAAACATTACTTTCAATTTCTCTAGCTGATTCTTAAGTATTGGGAAATCAAAGGAATGTCCGTTGTAGGCGATTAAGCAAGCTGGTTCCGTGAAAATGCTTAGGAATGTATCTATAATTTTGAATACTTCTAAGTTGAATGGTGGTTCATGCTCGAGAAGCTCATTGGAAAGTTTCGTGACTTCAGTGGCGCCTGTGCTTATAAATTTACGCGGGTACAAGCACAGAGTGAGTTTTTGCTGAACTCGAGGCGTCTCGCCGAACGGAGTATTAACAATATGATTCCGTTTCACTGCCACTAAACTTATTTCGGTTATTCTCGTCGTATTACCGTCATTTCTAGGGATATCGGTGGTTTCCAAGTCAACAAAAACGAAAGTTTCGATACGCACCATTTCTCGGTTCTATAAACGTTTTTTAAATGTTTAAATTGAAGAAGAAATGTATAGTAGGTCAAAAACTGATTAAAACTTCTGCTTAATGCTTACCGAGTTCCTGCAACATTTTGAGTCATACGTCGATTTATCACATAATTAACTTTGTAACATAAAGTGATAACATCGTGTTACATACAAATTTCATATAGTTATTCGAATGATTCACTGCAGCACTTCATTTTGTAGTACCTATAAGTGAGTCGACTAGTATCAAAGCCGGCAATGTGACTTTTGGACAATTATTGGTAAATCAGAAAAACGAATTATTGACTTTGTATTCCATTGGCAGCCACAAAACTCTTCTGAGCGACATCTTAGATAAATAACAGGTTAAGTATTAACCTTTATTTAATGCAGGTTTGAACCGTATTCTTTGAAGGAGACGATTATATTCAAATCAATCTGTATTGACATATCAATAACATTTTTTTGTTCAAATGCACAGATTGCCACCTTTGATAATAGAGGACTCAAGTAGAAACAAGACAAATAGTGGTATTTGGTTTTGATTTATTCCATTGTTTATTTCCCTTACCTACATTAAGATACAGATCTTACTAAACATAATAGTGGTGAATTTTAATGTCTGGCGCATGTGCGTGTGTAGTGGTGGTGGGCTCACTGAATTTGGCCCCTTTTTTTAATTTATAGATTTTTTTATTTTTAGTTATTTGTTCGTTAATGTTCGAATGTAAAAATTGTTTGTTCGTCTTTTATTTATTTATAATTAATTAAACAAATAATTACCCTTAAGTTGACCCCCATTACTAGATATCTTTATTTTTATCGCTCAGATTAATTAATTTTGATCAATTTACGTTTCTTCGACGACTATTGGTGATTGTTCGATCATAAAAACAATTAAATTCCCAATTATTCATTATTTTATTTCTAGGAAAACCATCACCTCACGCCTTTACATTGCGCATGCGCCGGTTTTGTCAGTCAGCTGGCAATGGCCGTATTTACTAGCGTTTTGTTAACAAGTGCGTTTAAACTGTCTAATTATTTCTTAAGTAGATAAAAAAAATATTGAAAACTTCAACAAACTTCAACAATACCTACTTCAGACTTCAACAAAAAAAATTCAGTGAAGACGGCCAATTCGTTAAAGTATCTTCTATCTTCTTTAATGAATCGCTGTTCGTTAGTCTCGCTAAAACTCGAGAACGGCTGGACCGATTTGGCTAATTTTGGTCTTGAATTATTTGTGAAATCCTAGAGGAGGTTTAAAAGGTACTTAGATAAATATGAAAATGCTCGGAATTAAACAAAAATAACAATTTTGTTTTTTCTTTGACGTGTCCCTCGTCGGACGGATTCCTTTTGTTTGTTTTAAGTTTATTTTATACAAAAGCTTAGGTCTTTTATTTGTCGATTGAGGTTCTACGAAGTCTGCCGGGTCATCTAGTCATTTAATAATAATAAATCAAGTTGTCAGTCCTAAGCCTGAGAAAGCATGAACGATTGTTTTCATTTCAAAAAATGTATTAAAACCATTTCATATGTATGATTGTTTCTTTATGTGGAACATATTCTACTTTTTTTGCTTGTTTAGACGGGTGAACAAGCTCACAGCCCACGTGGTGTTAAGTGGTTACTGGAGCCCATAGACATCTATAACGTAAATGCGTCACCCACCACGTATTTAATTAAAAGGAGTACCTATATATTGAAGTTTTATTTATTTTATAGAAAAACAGCCGGTGGTTTGTAAATTATTCAAATGGGGTCGTCCAAAACGTTTGAAAAAATTGACAATAAAAAATTAATTCATAAAGTCAATGCGGTATGTAATTAATTTTATGAATTAATTTTTAATAACCCAATCCCATTTTAATCTCATTCTCAAAGATAGTTCGTAACCTCTGGGTCTGCAGAGAGACTTCGTTTTCTCTCTGTATTTTGAATCGTATTTTCATGGGGAGTGCTCTAAATAATTGTGTGAGATGATTCCATCATCTAGTTTTTAGTGGTGGCAGGACCTCTTGTGAGTCCGCGCGGGTGGGTACCACTATCCTGCCTATTTCTGCCGTGAAGCAGTAATGCGTTTCGGTTTGAAGGGCAAGGCAGCCGTTGTAACTACACTTGAGACCTTAGAACTTTATCTCAAGGTTGGGGGCGCATTTACGTTGTGGACGTCTATGGGCTCCAGTAACCACTTGACACCAGGTGGGCTGTGAGTTCGTCCACACATCTAAGCAATAAAAAAAAAACCATCGCACTGCCCGCCACCAGAGTAGAGTTCGTCCATACTACCTGGAATCACTGCGTTTATACACAGTGCGTATCCAGAGATCTTTTTGCCACGTACCATCCGGCTTTGGAATGAGTTCCTCTCCATGGTATTTCCCGAACGCTATGCCATGTCTTTTTTCGAACCAGGTTTGTGGAGAGTACTTAACGGTAGGCAGCAGCTTGACTCTGGCGTTGCTGAAGTCCATGGGCAATGGTAGCACTCACCATTAGGTGGGCCGTATGCTCGTCTGCCTATAAAACCAATAAAGAAACAAAAAAAAAACACTTGTTTCCATTATAATCAAGTGGGCCTTATGTTCTACTCTAAGAAAAATCTAATATTTTAGGATTTTTATTTATTTATTTATTGATGCACAAAACAAATTACAATCATTACAGTACATATCAGCTAAATCGTACAAGTAGTACCTAGATCTAATTAGGTGGGTAATAAGTTCTGCTCGCCTAACAATCAAAATATTTTAAGTTTTTTTTTTATGCACAATGCAAATTACAGTCATTACAGTACATATAAGCTAAATCGTACAAGTAGTACCTAGATCTAATCAGGCGGGTAATAAGTTCTGCTCGCCTAACAATCAAAATATTTTAAGTTTTTTTTTTTATGCACAAAACAAATTACAGTCATTACAGTACATATGAGTCGTCTATTATCAAAGGTGGCAATCTGTGCATTTGGACAAAAAAATGTTATTGATATGTCAATACAGATTGATTTGAATATAATCGTCTCCTTCAAAGAATACGGTTCAAAACCTGTATTAAATAAAGGTTAATACTTAACCTGTTATTTATCTAAGATGTCGTTCAGAAGAGTTTTGTGACTGCCAATGGAATANTGTGCATTTGGACAAAAAAATGTTATTGATATGTCAATACAGATTGATTTGAATATAATCGTCTCCTTCAAAGAATACGGTTCAAAACCTGTATTAAATAAAGGTTAATACTTAACCTGTTATTTATCTAAGATGTCGTTCAGAAGAGTTTTGTGACTGCCAATGGAATACAAAGTCAATAATTCGTTTTTCTGATTTACCAATCATTTTTCAAAAGTCACATTGCCGGCTTTGATAATAGTCGACTCATATAAGCTAAATCGTACAAGTAGTAGCTAGATCTAATCTGGATTGCAATCTAAATAGTAGATAAATTTAGTTAAAATGGCTGTAATTGCGGAGTGATTTAATTATACAATACACAATAAATACATAATGCTAACATCACAACTATAACAGATATAATTGGAATCCAGTTCTTTTGTAACATGTTCCTGTTATCTTTATTGGGGATAATCTTCTTCTCTTTGTAGTTTTTCTTTTTCCCACTCAATTTCCATTCATATTCTGCTAGCTCTCTCCTGTTCTTTTCTTCCTCTAACTTCTTTTGTCGTTGTTCTTCCATCTCTTTTTCAAGTTTAGCAGCAAGTTTTTTCTTTTCACATGATTCATCACATTCTATTTTTGCTTCACCATCTCTAATCAAATTACAAGGAAGCTCTTTTTTAATGTTTCTACATACACAATATGCTTTGGTCTTCTTTGTGCATATTTGATTGGTGCAAGGACCAGAATGACATGTGTTTTTGCAACGGTGTCCACATACCAAGCTCTTCGGGCACTGTTGCTTACAAGAGAGAATATCTTCAGAAGCTACAGACAGTTGTCTGCAGCGTATGTATAATTCAGTTACATTGCAATGACATGCAACTCTTTCTAAAATCTCACATGGAGGGCATGGACCTGGGTGACAGGCACCCTTTGGGCATTTGTGTGTGCATTTCTCAGGTCGAGAAACTAAGCAAGGCTTGTCACAGGGTTTGCAGACAGATGGCACATCTCTATAAGCAGGATCCTCACGGAGAAGGTGGCATTCCAATGTACATTTATGATTACCACAAGTTAGAGGTTTTCCGCACTCTCTTCCACAAGATCTTCTTTTTGCTGAATGACATACCTGTGTGTCTGTCTCATGTTCACCAAAGCAAATTAATTGTAACGGAGTCTCACATGGAGGACAGTCTAATGCCGTGATTTTTGTTTTTGGCCGTTGTGCTTCCCAGGGTGTGGCAGGTTTCTTGACTTGTCTAAATACGACTAAAACATATTTATGGCAGGTGGTCTTGCAATAGTGCTCACATTTATTATACTTCTTACCGCACACTGCTTTGCAAGGGGGACACTCTCCAAAATGGCAGGAATGTTTGTTTTCATCTACATGTCCACATTTGTATTTTAAATGACATGGAAGTGTGCATCGTGGTGGTTTAATCATTTTGTATCTACCACATGGAACGGTTTTGATAGTTTTTTTACAGTTACATGGCACTTTTATTTCTTGGGGGCAAGGATAACAGGGACCTAGATGGCAGATATTGGTACATCGATGTCGACCACATTGGAGTTGCTTATCGCATATTTTCTCACATGGTGGACAGTTACCATTGCAGCACTTCCGGCCACAACTGTGTTTTCTACAGGGCCGTGTTCCTCTGCATTTTGTTTCACATCTGAATTCTTTACTGCATGGCAGAGATCTGAGGTGTGTTCCACATTGGCATTTCTTTTGGACTAACACCTGGCACGGTGGACATGGGCCTTTATGACATTTCTCTGGACATGTATGTTCACAGTCATGTTTTTTATTGCATGTTCCAAGACATGTTTCGATGGTATCAGGGCATTCTACATAGCGTTTATTTGCCCCACATGGACATGATTGATTTCCAGAGCTGGGACAAGGCCCGCAATTCCCTGAATGGCAGACTTTCTCACACTTATGATAGCCACAAGGGTATGACTTCTGGCACGGTCGCTGACACTGCCAGTGTGGATCATTGCAAGGTCTATGGGTTATCTCAGCTCCACAGTTACATGATTGTGAGCTTGAGAAGTGACAAGGTGGGCATTCTCCTTCATGGCAAACATCTTCACATTTATGAGTTTTACAAAGTAATGTTTTCTGGCATGTTTGGTTACATGACCATTTAGCTGCACTGCATCTTACTTTTTTAAATTCCTTCTCACAGTAACAGGTACCATTGACAGTCTGTGGGCAAGGTGGACAAGGGCCCGGATGGCAGAGTAACAGACACTTATGTTTACAGCTATCACCCGTTGACAACCTTTTCTCGCATATCTCCCCACAGCTATGTGGTATTAACCAAGGGTGAAATGTCGGATCATCGTTTTTCCCGCAAAAACAATAATATTTTCGCGGTATGTCAGTTTTGTTGTAAGTGAATCTACACTTTGGGCAGCACCACTCGGTTTTTTGTGGTTTCACAATGGATACAGGACCCTCATTCTCGTCACTGCGAAGCGTGACGCTGTCGATTGACCATTTCTGCACACAGGTGAGGTGGAAATAGCAGTAGCAATGCCCACAGGTCCAAATAGCATCTGTTCGTTTGACAGAGCTTATACATATGAGGCATGTTATAGGATTACCACTAAGCGCTTCTTCTAGAATGTTCTTGGTCCTATTGAGCATACGGCGATCGCCACCACCCTTGCAGTATCTTTGTAAAATTTCCTCGAGCACACTAGCATCGTATGGTTCATCATTTTCAGAAGACGAGAGTTCACTAAATTCTTGCAGATGTCTCTGAACACTTAGCTGCAATGACGCAGCGGCATCTCGATACTTTCGTGACATGATAAATTAACGAAGCTTTAATGAAAGGTAAAGTTTAAATTCTGGTTGAAACTAAAAATCAATATTCAGTTTCCACTTTTTTTTTAAGGGATTTTATGACCTGGTAACTAAGACCTTTAGGTCAAGTATAATTTTAATGATAACTTTCTTATATGAAAAATGATATTATGAAATGAAATGAGATGATATAGGATGAAGTATAATCTCAGTAAAATGGTGGTCATTTACTAAGACTTTTCAGCGGACTTTTTGGAGGATCCCGAGAAGTTACGTTCAGCGGCTTTGTTTCATTTTCCCGCATTTGTGCATTTTCACAGATGCTAAACAGTTAATAAACCACCGTTATTACAGATTTGAACTTGAAGAAACACTAAATAGACAAAATAAAACAAATCACACAACTTCACTCCTCGCGTTACCGCCAAAAAGTCTCAGTTTCCACTGGATTTTAACCATAGATTAATAAAATTCTTCTTAATTTTAAATTCCACTCACACAATATATTTGTATTGTCTATGCTCAGAGGCTGTATGGGCTTAGATCCCCTTGCCTTTCCTAACAAGGAAAAATTGTACCAAAAAAAAATATATCTATGCTCAGACTTCCAATCGGGCATGACGTTTGCTTTTAGGGATGCAACATAGACTTAGAAGTTTTATAGTTCAGTAGAATGCAATGATAAATTATATTTTCTAAACATCGAATTAATGTTGATAAACATCACTATCGATGATTTGTAAATTGATAAATCGCCTTCATGCCAAGAAACAAAATCCAAGAATATCGTTCATGAAAGTCCATAATCCTTCGTTGTTAACTAAAACCTATGTTTTCAGGAAAGCTGTATAATTATTAATAAAGGTTAGAACTCCGATAGTATTAGATTAACATTCCAAATCTAAATTATGTAACTGTATTTTCAACCATTACCAACTAATCGTTTTACTGTATTAATTTGTTAAAATTAAAGTTTTTTTGAGTTTATAATACTGTTGTAGGTAAATGAACATACCTGTTCAATATATGTCACCGTTATACATGAACATCAATCACCAAAGTCAGGGCCACCTGTGGTTTTTACAATGCAAATCATTATAGTATTATTCTTTGATGATACTGGGTATCCATTCATTAAAAAACATTAGTATTTTATTTTATTGGGTACCTATTGTGAAATACATTTATCTCAGAACACGAAAAAAAAAAATTGTTGTCTACAGCGTCGGTTTCCGAACGATAGTTTTACCTGTAAAGTCATAAAAAAACATTGATGAAAAATACATACATACTTTTATTAATTGAATTGAGTTATTATCACTGAATTACCATTATTTTGTATAATACAAAGAAGGAGTTATCCGAAAAAAAATTTTCTTACAATTCAATCGTCAAACCTTACAGTGCTCGCATTACTTAACGGAACTTAGCCGAAGTGTGGCGGTACCTATTTTATGGCGCTGTTTTTAAAATCTATCCGCTTGCGACCACGCCGCCACCTTAAATGGTTCCATTTCAGCGTACACTTTTTAAGATACTGAGATGATACTTGTTGGAGTTTGAATATAAAAGTAATGGCCGGCAATACTTGACACATGTAAGGTTACAGATTTCTAATATTGGAATTATTTTAAATGTTTAAAACAAATACTTAATTGTCTTCTCGTCAGTGAAGACAATGACTTCTCATATAGACACGGCCAGAGCAACATCTAAGAGTCTTATAAAAATAAAATATTATAATGTTGTAATAGTGTACAAAGTCTTTGCAATATAATTATATGAACCATGAAGCAGTGTTTTTAAATAGCCCCTCACCTACAGAACCCAATCCCCTCAAATTGAACAATACTCCTTAATTATACCCTCCATATTTCAGGTATAACACTTATTAAGGGTATCCATATTAATACTTAACAGTCGATTTTCATCATAGTTAATACAATTGCTATACAAAGAAGCCTGGATAAAAGAATAGCTGTTGAATTTTTCCTCAAATGATGAAAATAAATTCAAAGAAAAGAATTCGTAAACACAAATTTTAATGGATTCGTTCTTTGACCATATTCAGATTAGTTTCGTCTTTTCAATTTTTTTATATAAATGAGACGAAGATTTGGTCATTAATATCCTAAGTGTATTTATTATCTATGTTAATGTAAAAAAAACTTTTTACGCAAATCTTTCTTTTCTCTACGCATGGAGGTAGTTCTACCCTCTATATCGCTACGTAATTATAGATGGTGACACTGTTGACGAATTACTTTATTTTCATTTTCATTGAGAGGATTTAACATTTTAAAGATTTTAATTTTAAATTTTAAATTGTTTACGGAATGTTTATAATTATATTACGAACTTGTAGAAAACTTTAGTTGAGATTTTGATCTTTGTCTTTAGGGTACTAAAGACTACTATATTATTATGTTAAACAATGAAACAAAAATAATTTATTAATCGTTTTATTTAAAAATCGTTCACAGTTAAGTTAGAATTATTTATGACTCTAATAAAAACATTCACAAAGGGAATATCGTTACATTTTATTATTAATAATGGACGGAACTAAGTTGTTAAAATTAAGGTCGGCGATTAATAATACTCAAAGTACTTATATCAGAAATAAATAGCACAGTGCTATACTGGTTCCTACCTAGGCACAGGCATCTATTCTTGTGCTTTTAATTTTTTCGAAAATAACGCTTTTATAAATTAGATCGTAAGACTTCACAATAACTACCTATGTTATGAAGAATAAATGTATAATTTTGAACTTAGAGCCAGTCACTAAAAGGCATATCATTACTTAATTAATAAAATTCAACTTACAAGCAAAGTTACGTATGCACAAATATTATTTAATATTACTAGGTTAGTTTCATGGAAGCATTTTGATAAGACTAATTTATAATTTTAATGGTAACGAAACATAGTGTCAATGGCACTGTCGAACAAAAGTAAAAACTTAGGTATTTAATTAAAATTATATAGCACCACGGCATTTTGTTCTACGATGAATCTTGGAACTACATTTTTCTTCTTTTTGCTAAAAAGAAAAATGTTCTATTTCTTGGTAGATCTATAAGATTTTTTTTAAACCACAGTTTATATTACTATTTTGAAACAAGGTAAATTTTCTCGTTATTAATTGTAAGGGCTGAACTTCGTGATTATTTTCAAACCGAAATGGTTATAGCTTCATTCATTATAGTACTTTGTATCATTATAAGTTTTGTTTTAACTGATATTCAAATTAAAAAAAAACCTTATGAATTTTTTTATCCTCATCGCACACGAGTGTTAATTTCAGGTTTTTTATTCTTACTCGATAATTTAAACCAACCAGCCTTTTTATTGTTATCTTTGGGCATCGATATCGAGCGCGAAACGCGTTCCCTATCACTATCCCGACTGCTCACGTCTGCCGATCTTTTCCCGTCTCTAGGCGTTGACTTTCGTGTACTCTCAACTTTTTTTTCGGGTTTTTTGTATAGTGTTGTACTAGAACTAGTTAGACGATTATTTTGAGGTCGTTTGGTCAAAGTGCTTTGACTATACGATTTATTCTTTTGCAATGATGGTCTCTCATCTGTTAAAGTTTTAGTCGATGCTGCTTTCTTCATAGTTTCTTTCGGTTTCATTTTTCTTGGTTTCTGTGCATAATGGACGTCGTATTGATCGCTATAATGCTTCGGGGTCCATGGGGCGAAGATAGAGAAACTTTTTGTGGTGCTGCGGACTTGAATATTTGAAGAGTTGATAGATGAAACGTCGTCTCTTGAACGATTGCGTGATATTCGACCGGGGTCTGGAATATCACCCACTGAGAAAAAAACAATGCTTTTACATAAAAATCATCTTAATATTATAATATGACGTTATTACGATTACGAACATAGTTCTTTTTTGTGAATTATAGAATAGCATATGGATTTAGTGAAATTTTGAATTTTAAATCGATTTTCCGTTACCTGTTGTTGCATGTAGATAAACAACGCTGCGTTGTGATTGATGACTAGAATCCCCTTCCGTACTACTCTCTCCGGAGTTAGTTACTGGAGTCCTTCGTCTATGTCTAAAAAGTGTAATTTTTGTGTTTATAATTTAATGCGATTTAGTTGGGCGGTACACAAGTTGAAAGTTACTTTTTAAACTCAGATGAAATCGATATCATTATTTAACTCTTTGAAGGGCAACCGTAGTATTTTTACCACCAGTTATTTTGCAAATATTTTTGAACGTTTTTCAGTCAGGTCAATAATTTTAGCCCCGAAAAAGTCATTAGTGATAGGAAATTAAAAAATAATAAAAAATGTTTTTCCTTAAAACGCAAAATATGGTTAAAATGATATCCTAATCATTTTTGGATATACATACTAGATCGTTATGCCCCTAGAAAAGTTAAAAAATGGTCAGTCGTGGACAAACATTCACTTGATTCTTAATCAATACAATTGAACAATAAATAATTTTAAAAGGCATCTATTTGAATAAACGATAAGTATGTAACAAGATAAAAGCTAGCTGGTTACTTTGGAATATTTTGAGAGGGATCTCACTAAATAGACCAAATCTAAATAGTTTATACATAGTAGGGTCTTTATGATAACTTAAAAGTTCGAAATATTGTATAAAGTAAAATTATCAACAACTATTTAGTTTCTAGGCATTATTCATGTACTATGTACGGTTTTCTTGAAAATTCAGACAATACGCAATTCGAATCTCTTACATGGTCTACCACGGCTAAGCTCAACCCGGAAGAAGTAACAGATAATTAATAAATTTTAATCTTGCTCTGTCACATTAACATTGACATAGTAACAACAATATCTAGATTTTGCCAACTTTTCATCTCAAATGCCTAGTAAATCTTCGGTGGTGCAGAATATATAGGGGATAGTCAATCAACCTAAAAAGTCTAACACATTTGTGAAAATGCTTAGCAAGTTGAAATCTTGTTTTTTAATAATCTAAAGCAAAAAATTGTGCATCGCGATCAGTCCCTGATTATTATAATCCTTGTTATTTTGCCGAAGAGTTGTCATTTAATTTCTAATGTGACAAGCCTATAAAAGTTATTAAAATTAAGAACAGATAGATTACAAGAACTCAAAATCTATAAAAAATCGCCTAAACTCACTTCATGTCCCTGTTCAATTCTTGCTTACTGCTTCTTATATCAGATGAGCTGCCTCTTTCGTCGGTTCTCCTTCGGGTATCGCTCTTAGCTTTTAGAGTCTTTGAACTACTGTGACTTCTGGATCTGTCATAAGGGATTGGAGGTTTCGTATCGACTTTCCGATTGAACTGACTCTCATTCTCAGAGTTGCTCTGGATTTCGGATATATTTTGAAGGTTCCTTTTGTAGTATTGCTTGGTGCGCGGTGATTCTCTATCCACCTCATCCCGATGGAGGTTGGAGAGTGAGTAGCTCTTGCCGGAGAGCTCGGGGTGGTCTATCTCGTCGATTCCTGTACTTGAATTCGATATTGTCTTCCGGAGTGTCCCGCGAGTTTTTGGTTGCGGATGACTTTTTGTTTTAGTCACGTTTTGCTTGACGTTGGCATCGGAATCCGGGTCCGTGTCGCCGAAGAACCTCAGATTTTTCGCTGGTGAGTTCAGAGGTCTGCTCTGCGATTTCATCCAGGATTTCTTGGGTTCCTCTTGCATTGATAGAGAGCTTTCCTTGTCGACCTAAAAGAAAACAATAATAAACTAAAATTTCCTAACATTAATTCCACTAGTTGCCAACAGATAGAGCTACATTACCTTAGGACTCTTTCCTTTCTTCCTTGTCAATCGATCCAAAGACTTGAACCAAGTTCCGGACGAGGTCGGAGTATTGGATGTCAGCCGGCGGGGTGGTGAAGGGGTAGGGCTCGGTGTTGCCAGTCGGCGCCTTTCCTTGTATCTCTCCGCCTGAAATTATATAATATATGTGTTCATATTGGTGGATTATTCTAGTATACAATAGGCAGAGTCGAATATGCGGCTGACATGAAGGAACGTTTGGGTACTCGCATAGGACCAGCAATCTATACCTAGTCAGGTCATAAGTATTGTCACACAGTAAAAACTTTTATTTTAGAATGCTGGCCACAAAAAAGTTTATTGAATTCGAATTTCGAATTGTTGAATATAAAAATGTATTACTTTTAGAATTTTACTTATTTTTAAATAAGGGGTGGACGGTTAAAGAAGACCGTGTTGCAGTTATTGCGTTGCATCGTTGCGGTTACGCGCCAATTCAAATTTTTAACATGCTGAAAATTTTGAATATAACCAAAATATTCGTTTATCGTACCATCAAACGATACAATGAAGAGTCTAGTATAGATGACAGGTCAAGAAGTGGTCGCCCTTGGTCTGTTAGGACTCCAGCAGTGATAAAAGCTGTGAAGGCGCGAATTCAAAGAAATCCCAAACGTAAGCAGAAACTGTTGGCCCTTCAGATGGGGTTAAGCAGAACCACGGTGAAAAGGGTGTTAAATGAAGACTTAGGGCTTCGGGCATATCGAAGAAAAACAGGACATCGTTTGAATGCTCGTCTAATGGACCTGAGACTGAAGAGATGCCGCGCTTTGTTGAAGCGGTACGCGGGAAAAAAATATCGGGAAATTCTTTTTTCGGATGAAAAAATTTTTACCGTAGAAGAGAGCTACAACAAACAAAATGATAAGGTGTACGCACACAGTAGTGAAGAAGCGAGCAACCGTATTCCGCGTGTCCAACGAGGTCATTTTCCATCCTCGCTCATGGTATGGTTGGGAGTTTCTTATTGGGGCTTAACAGAGGTACATTTTTGTGAGAAAGGTGTAAAAACGAATGCAGTTGTGTATCAAAATACAGTCCTGACGAACCTTGTGGAACCTGTTTCTCATACCATGTTCAATAACAGGCACTGGGTATTCCAACAAGATTCGGCGCCAGCTCATAGAGCGAAGAGCACACAAGACTGGCTGGCGGCGCGTGAAATCGACTTCATCCGGCACGAAGACTGGCCCTCCTCCAGTCCAGATTTGAATCCGTTAGATTACAAGATATGGCAACACTTGGAGGAAAAGGCGTGCTCAAAGCCTCATCCCAATTTGGAGTCACTCAAGACATCCTTGATTAAGGCAGCCGCCGATATTGACATGGACCTCGTTCGTGCTGCGATAGACGACTGGCCGCGCAGATTGAAGGCCTGTATTCAAAATCACGGAGGTCATTTTGAATAAACTTTAGTGTCATAAGAATCTATGTTTTGTTAAGTTCATTTTGGTATATGAATGGTTACATAATGAATAAACTTGTTTCAATTATTTTACATTAAACATGTGACAGAATTTATGACCTGACTAGGTATATTAATACGTAAAGCAAAAACTTTGTACCCCTTTTTACGGAAATTGCGCGGACGGAGGAGTATGAAATTTTCCAGACTTATAAAGAATATAGAGAAGTTTTTTTTTTTAAATAATGCATAAAAGATACATTATATCAATAAAGAACACATTACGCACGCTACCATGTATTTGACACACACACGCGTGCATACTATTTATTTATTGTCAAACTTTTATTCTTGACGTCTGTGGTCAAATTGAGAATAGAATTAAATATTGTTTGTCTTTATTAATATTTTTCTATAGTGTAGTCTTGGCGTTGAAAATACAATCATAATAGTGTACAAACTTACAATTCCTATTAATTATAGTCGAATTTCGACTACTGCGGGAGCTCTAGTAATACAAAAGAGTTAATCAAACCGCCTAATATACCATCTCTGAAACCCTCTCCAACCATTTCGAAGTTAGACTGTCACAGCACTAAGGAAGCGGCATAGAGCGGTGTCTAGCTTCAGACACAGTTACAGGATATAAAGCCGATGTCTGGAAGCGCATTCAATGACATCTTCGACGAACGATTGCAATTTATTCTCGTTCAAAGTGAACAGTAATTATTTGACACCCCGATGTGAAAATGATGAATTTACACACGCGCACGTACAGAGTACATCTCGTGGGGTCGACGACATTAGTTTCGTGTAAATAAATCATAAATCATAGATCTGGGGTTCCGCTGCGAATTAGTAAAGGTATCTAATGTTAGGATGTTGATCTTCGCTTCGTTCGTGTATCGTTGGCCTGAATGAGCTGAAAGTTTAGATTTATTCTAGAATTTCCTCGTGACGTAGAAGCGTTGTTGCATGTTTCTCACCCGCCTCAAAGGAGTAAGATCAAAAATCAGTAACTTCACTGAACTCAGCCTTCATTTTTTAATCCGCCATTTTAATATTCCGGTGCTCGATTACGCGATAAAAAAATTAAATAAAAAGTATTGCCACATCAAAAATTGACTGGCGGTTATTAAATGAAGCCTTTTTTGTGTTGTTCAAATTAAATTTTTCTGTGAGAATGACTTTTTAACTCACACATACAAATAAGTAATATACAAATCAACCTTTAGTTTCATGTTTTTGATTCATCGTTTATGTATCGTTTTCATTTGCATTAGTCAGCTTGGTATGCCATGGACATGACAACGTGAATCCGCCTACCGCATCGAGACTTAGATCGAAGTCTTATTGGCTAATATCTAATATTGTCTAATAATTCTTCCGCCCTTGTAATCAAAGTGTTTGAAATTTTTCGCTACATCAATAGGGCCGAAAGTACCTAAACCTGAGAGCTCATACAACCAGTTAACTCCGACTTCTGAAAGCTCCAAAGCTAACTCAGTATTGAAGCTGTGATTAACCGATACAATGTATCTCTGTATTATGTCTGTCTAATCGGAAGACTCTCGACTTTTTATTTATTTATTGTTTAGGTGGGTGGACGAGCTCAACAAAGTAAATGCGCCACCCACCTTGAGATATAAGTTCTAAGGTCTCAGTATAGTTACAACGGCTGCCCCACCCTTCAACCCGAAACGCATTACTGCTTCACGGCAGAAATAGGCGGGGAGGTGGTACCTACCCGTGTGGACTCGCAAGAGGTCCTACCACCAGTAATTACGCAAAATGCAATTTTGCGGGTTTTGATTTTTATCATACGATGTTATTCCTTCACCGTGGAAGTCAATCGTGAACATTTGTTGAGTTTTTTTTTTTTTTTTTTTTTATTGCCCTTGTAGGCAGACGAGCATACGGCCCACCTGATGGTGAGTGGTTACCGTCGCCCATGGACTTCAGCAATGCCAGGGGCAGAGCCAAGCCGCTGCCTACCGAACGTACGTATTTCATTAGACAAATTTGGTACCCGCCTGAGATTCGAACACCGGTGCATCGCTCAACACGAATGCACCGGACTTCTTATCCTTTAGGCCACGACGACTTCGACTTGTAGTAGATTAGACTCAGCCGACTGTAGACAAGCTAACGGATCGTTTGTGGTCTCCTAACGCTCGCGCTAGTTTTTTTTTTCTCGTACCTAAGCTGAGAGCCTTGAGACCTATTTCAGCGTAACCTTAACTAGTAGGTGAGGTCATGGGGCTCAAACCTGACGACGTTGCTAATACGAATCCTAGCAAGAGCCGCGCTTCGCAGAATCTACCACCGGATCGGAAACGCGACCCACTGAGAAGATCCGGCGAGAAACTCAGTGGGCTGTGTCTGAGGGTTAATTTACTTGTCGAGCCCTTCGACCCAAGCGACGGGTTCGACGAGAACGATGACCGGAGCGCTAGAGATGAACAACATTCAATATCGAATCAAACGTGACAGAAATAATAAATTCCTACAGATTTAATATAATACTTCATTATCTCACCCGCTTCTACTAAGTGGGTCGGCGTTGGATCAATGCTACTACTGGAGTCAGGTCACCCAGTTTAAAAGAGTGACACTGTTACTTAAGACAATGTATGTTAGGAATGGGGTCTAACACTAGGCGGCGGAGGTCATGCGGGTCGGATGTCGTAAATATGCACATACATACAATATGAAATTTTAAAAGTTGAAATAGTAGTTTTAAATAATAGTTTAAAACTACTATTTCAACTTTGATTTAATTAATGAATTATCAATATATAATATATATAATATATAATCATAATTCTGATTTAATCTCGGGTTTGTTAGTACATAGTTTCGTTGTACAATATACAGACTTACCGGATGCCTGTATTGTTTACAGTTGAAGTAGTTAATGAACGCAATAACATTTGAAAATTGATTCTTGAAATCGAACCGATGGCCGTCCAAATAAAATGAAAAGACGCGCGTTTCTTTGTCGTTATGGAAGTCCCGTAAATGGTTTTTGAATTTAATGTACCTATACGAGTCGGCAAAAGTTCGTCGGTAAAACGCCGTCATGTCGGTATTGTTGTGGCCAAAGTTAAGAGGGCAATGGGTTAATGCTCCGCGCTCTGATACGCTACAAATACCTGTGCTCGACGTGTGACATAGTTGTGAGAGCGAAAAATTATTTTAGGTCACACAAAACCATTTGTTTACTACTGAACTTAACGCCAGGTGATCTGTGAAAACGTTCATTCGTAAATACAGTAAGTAAATAATAGGAATTAATTCCACGACGACGTATTTTTTTTTTTTCCTACCTATCCTGTTAGCCTTGAGAGTCTATTTCAGCTTCGCCCTAACGTTTGTAGGTGAGCTCGCGGGGCTCAACCGGAGAGTTGCTAATACTGACCCTAGCAAGAGCAGTGCTTCGCAGAATCTACCACCGGATCGGAAACGCAACCCGCTGAGAGGATCCGGCGAGAAACTCAGTGGGCTGTGTCTATGGGTTAGTTCGCTCGTCGAGCCCTTCGTCGCAAGCGACGGGTTCGACGAGGACGGTGACCGGGACGACGTAATAATGACGTCAGTTTGTATCGGTAGGGGTTGCGTCGCAAGAACTGGTGGTACAGGGTGGTTCTTTTTTTATTGTCCTTGTAGGCAGACGAGCATATAGCCCACCTGATGGTGATTG